AGAGAGAGAGAGAGAGAGAGAGAGAGAGAGAGAGAGAGAGAGAGAGAGAGAGAGAGAGAGAGAGAGAGAGAGAGCTGGTGCAGACATATATGACACGCTGATAAAGGAGAGGCGAGAATAAGAAAGGGTATCCTCGGAGTGAGGAAAAAGGGTTCTTTTTTGGATTCTTATCTACGAATGCTCAGAGTCGGGTCCGACCACCTCATTAGTCTCCATAATAACTTGAAAAAATCAGTAATCTACACCAATCAAAAAGAAAGGATACACTAATCGAAACCGATCTGCAGAGATGCAGACCGACCGGTGTTCCGCCATTTGTCGAAATTATGCAATTTTAGGCGTTTTAGATATCACAAAACTTCGGTAGAGGACGGCAGAGGCATTAGTCTCCCTGGCAGCGACAGCGTCGGAGAGTTGTAGTCATCGCTGCGCAAAGACGTGGCGGTGTGCGTGTCGAATATGAGGACATGTATATATCTACATGTATATCTTTATATTGATGAACATCCGGGGGGCCGGGGGGGAGAGGGAGGGGTTGGGTTGGGGGGTAACAGAAGAAGAATGTAAGCAATGGCCAAATTTCTCTTCCCACGCAATAGAACGAAACTTCATTCTTTCGTTCCTCTTCTTCTTCTTCTTCTTCTTAGGGGGTAACAGGTTTATCCGGGTTTTTTTTTCCGGGACAGAATCTCGGATAAAAAAAATATATTGTTTTTGATTTTTTTTTTTTTTAATCTCGAACTCTGTTTAGAATTTTGAAATGATCTCCAGCCAGAAGCTGTTGGAACTATTATAATCTACAACATACCTTTTTTTTCAGATTTTTTGGGAGTTGTTTTCCCCCGAAATATTCCCTATTTGACCCCTGGATAAGTTTGATCCGGGGCTCTTTTGTGTTTTTTAATAACATGTGTATGTATCGGAAAATGCAAGTAAATAGTATTCTCAGGGGTAAGAAAAGTCCTATCAACGAAATAGGACTCGCAATCGTCCGGCCGCTTATTAGTTTTTCTTTTTTTTTCATTATTTTTAAATGGTTGGTTGAATTTCTTACGTTTTTTGTTTGAAGTGGAAATGAAAGCAAGGACGAAACGGAAACGCGTGTCAGCCGCTGAGGTTAGCTGTTTGTCGCGTCAAACGAGCCAGAAAGGAAAAGGGGGAGAATCTGAAGGAGGAGGGACTGTTGTGCAGCGCGGAGCACGCAGACACACACACACACACACACACACACACACACACAGAGAGAGAGAGAGAGAGAGAGAGAGAGAG